ATAATGTTTGTACATATCGTACTGAACCATACAAGAATTATCTATCAATAACATACAAATGTTCAGAATATAAAAAATTTCCTGCATGTTCATATCAGTTAAAAGCCACACAACATGTAGTTGGAACATACCAGTTATATTCCTCATCATGTCATAATCATCAACAACGCGCTGATAGTAATCGTTTATTATCACCTATTCGTGACAATATTCGTCAAATGACAGATAAAGGATTAACAGCTGTACAAATTAAAAAGATAATGAAAGTATTACATCCAGATCTTTTCATTGATTCAAAAGTGCTGTTGAATATAAACAACAACAAAATCGTTGTCGTATATAATTCATGAAGAATTATATTCATGGTGTTCTCAATGTAATACATATCCATCAGTTGATAAAANTGATAAAATACATGACGTTTTCGTACCATATTTTGAAGTTGTGGATGTAAATAATACATTTATTTGTTTAACTACACGTCAATTACTTTCAACGTGTAAATATTCCTCTGTATTATATATTGATTGTACATATAAAGTCACAGCTAACGAGTTCAGCACGTTTATTAGATTTTTCTCGTTTTTTCCCACCAATATTTTGTACGTGTCGATATGGTCTCAAAGAATTTGCCTGTGTTCATGCAGTTGGTATGATGCTGTTATGGGTACTCGACAAATGCCGCAAGAAATTGGAAAACGTCAAGGAAAAGGTCGTCCGAAAAAAGTAAAATATGCATTATCGAGAGACTAACATCATTATTAGGATTATTACTAGCCTCATCGTCATCATATAATATCTCTGTTTCTGCGTTTATGTTTATTTGTTACAAATTCGCATAAACTTATACGTTAATTCCTCATGGTGTTTGTATTTGTTGAAAATTTTTGTAAATAGATGAAAAATAAAATTTCTTATTTATTAGTTTTAAAATACTAAAAATTACCATAAAAATAATCTGTATTAGGCCTAATTAATCTATGATAACAAGCATAGTGTTGTGTTAGTTATAAACTTGTGCAAAAAACAACCGAGATCTCTTCCATATTTTCCATGCAATTAACTATTTAGATCTATTACATATTTTTTCCGAAAAAAAATCTATTTTTAAAAATCAAGTTCTAATCCGCGATATTTTCGAGATCTTTTAAATTCTTGTCCTTTTAGATGAATGAAAAATAACAAGTGATATATGAGCAAATGCGCGAGGTCATGGGCTACAAGAATATATAATTGGAATTAATTTTCGTTTATAAAAGCTTATCAGCTCAACGTCTATGGAGTTAAAAGGCGAAACTCACATATTTTTCAAGATGGTTTTGAGAACTACTGTAAAGATAGAGATGAAGAGATTAAATGCGTCTAAACAACGGAGTTCAACAAAATTCATTATTAATTTTAATTGAATCAATGAAGTCAAATATATTACCCCAAAATGTCGTCATTTTCCCCTTAATCGTTTTTACGACGAAATTTCATGTTTTATATCCCGATCGGGACACTACTTTTTTTCTATATCCTGATCGGGATATATATCCCGCTCAGGATATAGGAGGTGTCCCCTTACTGCCTGGAGAAGCATATAAAGTTGTGAAAAAATGTAGCGGAAGATCAACTCAAAAATGAATAATAACTGGTGGAAAATGCTCGCCAGCTCTACAAAATCCACTAGTCAAAAGTCGAAAAATTCGAGCGGCAGATTTATGAGCTTAACGCACGATCCTTTCGAAACACATTACGTCGAGTTTCACTACTAACAGACTTGTTCAACTTTTC